CCCCCTTTCCTCTCGCTCAACATCCGTTTTCCCTCCTCCGTTATCGACAACAACAGTTCGAGTTTAAGGCCCAGCGAGGTGGACAAACACAACTGGTATTGTGCGGCCTTAAGGAAGCGCGGGGCAAACAGGGACAAGTACGTCGAGTGTATGGCGCGACCGGACCTCGCCTCGGGGAGGGAGAGGGAAGGCCGTGGCGGGGCAAAAACGTACGCGCGCCGCCCCGACCCAACCCCGGCCCTCCAACGCGAACCCCTCTTTAATGGAAATCAGAAATCGGAGAGAGAGGGTTCTCGCTCTCCTGGAAACAAGCATTTGAATTCGGCTTTCCCGCTTTTCCTGAAGTACTGTTTTTCTCGTTTTATTTCAGTTAGGTCACGTTTTTGTTTTGGTAAAGACTTTGCGATCGGCTGAAGTAAGTTCTCCAAATTAATTCCAGAACAAGAACTATGACACATATGACGCATAGCAGGACAAGTGTAAAAGAAATAACTCCCTCTTTGGTTCGGGGAGTGAGGACGAATTTGCTCAAGTCATTTCGGGCTACAAGTTAATCTCACCGGAGGGTTTCTAATTTTAACATTATTTAACCAAGTGAAAAGTCTTTAAATGCTTGCGTGGCTTCTGGTGGCAGTGCTGTTTTTGCAATAATGTACTCCGAGACAAATAGGTTTATCTTTCACGTTAAATTCTCTACAAGCCAATTAATTCACCTGTTCCGAGGTATGCTAGCGCGCTGTCGGTGATGGCCGGCTACATGGCGACTGGCGGCGGCCTTCCACAACACTGCGCCGGGTCCGATGTCGTCCCCGCGGCGACGGGATCCTCCTGAACGGCAAGGACGGGCGCCCTGGTGCGCCCTGGTGGGGGTACAGGAGGCCGCGTGAGCTCGGCGCTGGTGGAGGAGGGGGTGTGCGCTCGCGGCCGGGGGCTGGGGGAGACTGGCGCGTCCGCGGGCCCCGCTATCCGCGCCGCTCTGCGCGGACCCTCCCCGCGGAGGTGGCGGGGGTGGGTGAGGGCGGGGGGCGGCGCGGCGGAGGAAGGCGAGGACTGTCCCCGCCGCGCGCGCTGACGGCCCCACCAATGAGACGTGCAATGACCCACGAGCAGCTCGCGTGACTCGCGATGAGTTTTCGAAATGGAGAGGCAATAAGGGCCGCGGTCGTCGGGCTCCTGCTGCTTATGCCCGTGTGTGTGTGGCGCCTTCCGGCAACAGCCACACGGCCTCGCAGCCACGCCCGCCCCGCCCCGCCCCGCCCCGGCACCCACTCAGCGGGATGGACGTGGACGTAGCGCTCCACTCTCACACATTGGCGTCTAGGAACGCGACGTGCTCGGCGCACGCGACGGCCGGCTGTACCGCGGGGTGTTCCAAAAAGAAAGTTAGAGCACGATTTCGGTTATGGTTCCAGATTTGATCCTAACGTTATGGCTTGTCTCGCAAGGTAGACAAAAATTATATTTCAAACAAGCCACGTTCGGTCCAAACCCGTGGTCGGGAACCACGCTCAAGTCGTGCTTTAGGACACCCTGCTGCACCAAGGTCATCCAGGCCACTAAAGACAGAGGAGTGGGCGCTCGCGGAGCAGTGCCGCGCCCAACATTCCGCTCGAGAACGCAATCAGTTTTCACCGTCCCAACGTCTGCGCCTCGAGAGGGATGGATGTAGTGGAGTCCTTCCTCCTCCGCATCCACCCGGAGTCGTGTTTGTTTACTTGTCCTTGACCGAGGCCCCGGCCGAGGCCCCGGCCGCGAGGCCCCGGCTCAAGTCCCCCGGCTCACGTCGGGGAGCGCAGGTCGATCTGTCTGTCATGCGTGTCCGGGCGCAATAAAGACGGTTTGCGTTTCTAGAATGTGTGCAGAGCGCCGCGACGCCGCGGGGAGACGCTCCCCATCCCCTCCCTCACCTTCCCTTTCTCTCCACTTTTCGTTTTTGCATGCTTCCCTCATCTTTTCGCTTTGCAAATACAAAATACGCGCCGCAGAAATAAGTCAGACAACGGTTCGGGTTTGGGCAAACCGGGGATTTTCGAGTGCTTTTTATTACAAAAAATTACACAAGTTTCGCCACTTATTCGGACGTTACAAACACGAAGCGGTTCAGCTACACGAGAGCGCGGCGCGCCGCGGGCGGCCGAAGAGTACCAGCCCCCGGAGGAGCAGCCGCCCGTGGACGCGAAACGAGCACTACGGCTAATGAGATCACACAATAAATACTGAAAATTACGAGAGCATGTCTAAAAATCTTTACAATATCAGTAGTAGTCATCAAATGTGCGAACAATAATACAATATGCAATATATTACATACATACAAGTTTTAACATTGCAACGACCGATTGTGGCTGTCAATCGGCCATCGCAGAACAATTGATAAACATTTTATGATTACAAAACGATTGATGATTTGATATAAGGCTTTCATTGCTAGTCAATACTTGCATCTTCATGCGATGAAATAAAATGCTCGTTAACATGTGAATAACATAATAACAACAACATTTTTATTTAAAAATACTGTAACTTTTTGACGATTTTTCCTGGTCGACTTAGCTTCTCTTCTTTCAACCCAACAACTTTACCAATGTTCTTAGGCCATTGAAAAAATGCTCCAATAACGACATAAATCATCAAGGAACAAGTCTCCCTACAAACTACCCTCTTCAAAATTATTATGGTCTAGTATTGTAGCGACAGCATTCAATCCTGTTTGGTACACAGGGGTGAGCTCAAACTAATCTCTTTACATATCTTATTCGAGTAACATTAGTCTACAAACTTACACTAATGAAGTAAACCAGTACGCGAAATTCACTCGCAATGTCTAAAACACTTCTACTTTTTCTACAAACGATGAGTTTCGCCGCCTTATGGTGGCATCTACCCCACTGACAAGATAAGGGTGGCTCCTCCCTGGGTAACGCCGCCGTGCGAGAATACTCCACGCGCAGGACACTGCGAATACCCACGGACAGCAGTGACAGCCCCATCCCCATCGGAGTATACTCTCCGAGGGAATGATTATTTAATTACGCTTCGATGACAAAATGCTGTGGCAGCGCCCTAGCCGACAAAAGTTTGGAGGAACGTTTGAATCAAATTTGATAATGTTGGCATTTCCTATGTTTTCCTAAATATATGAACACTCGGGATATACCTCCCGCCGGCTCGCTAAAGAACTAAAATTATCTCGTATAAAAGGTTGTTTTATGAAGTTGTTCGAATTAAACACCTGCTGAAATTTCCCTATATTTAAAAGAATACTACTTTTATGTACCAATAAGATTTCTTCGATTAAGCAATACTGTCTTTTCGGGGATGTACCTTAAGCACGAAAGCGATAACACATAGTAGAGCAATAATTCAACATAGACCGAAATTCTCCGATTTGTATTCTAGTGTAAATCATCTCTGCTTCGCGTCCTTCTTTCAGAGGTCATAACTTCCGAGAGTCATGATGGTTATTATCTCTTCAAGGAGCCACAGCAGGTATCGGACAGGACCACTCCTCTCGGTCCAGTCAAATCACAAAATGAAAACTTGAAAGCGAGGAAGTACACTCCTTTCATTCCTCAGAAAATCGACACTGTAAAAAATGTTGGGAATTCTACTATACGCATGTATAGGAAATTTCCTATACATCGTATCGGACGTGAAAATTCCTATAAATGTATAGGAATTTTCCCATTTGGGAAGATGCGTATGGGAAGAGTACGAAGTGTATAGGCAAATCTCCAGAAATGTATGGGAAAATTCCGATATGTGTCTGGTAGGCATATTTTCCTTGATGTGTATAGTAAATTTACTTGATGATGCCAATTTTCCTATACAATGTTCGGAATTTTTTAAAAAAACGGGTAAAGATATAAACATCTTTCTACCTTACACATCTTGGTCTGCGCGGTCATTTTATGAGCTTATATCTGCCGCCTGACGCCACACCACACAGGGTTGGACAAATTTAGAGTCTATATTGTTCTATTTAGCAGTTTAAACTCCGATGATCGAATTTCAAGTAAGGGTAGGAAGTAAAATTCAAAACTCGACATCAAAACATCTAGGAGTAAATCCCCAAAGCCGTGGGCTAGCCCCGGCACCGCGCCGACACCTGGCTGACCCTCTGGGAATGGCCCAGCCCCAGCGAGGGGCGGCGCGCGGCTCTGGGATGACCCGGGGTTGGTGGGGCACGCCTCCCAACAAGTCCCCGTGGTCTAGCGGTCAGCGTGACGGGATCGCAAGCCAGAAGTCCGAGGTTCAACTCTCCATCCGGTAAAGTATTACAAAATTACATCAATGCTTGCTTAAATGAAATTACTGAAAAGCGGTAGGAAGGCGACAAGGAACAAGGGCAACGGCGGGAAGTGGTTAAAAGAACTTTTTCTTTTTTGAAAGAGCATTGAGTGCATAGGAAAATTCCTATACATGTGTAGGGATAATGCCACACACACATAGTACATATCCTACACAGGGGTACAGGAAAAATCCTATACTTGTATGGTAAGAATACTATCGCGTATGGTAGAGTTACCATACGCCTGTATGGGAAAATTCCTATACATGTATATGTGAATTGCTGCAGATACATTTATAGGAAATCTACTATAGAAATTTTTTACAGTGGAGTTAAAAATGAAAAGGCAATAAAAACCAAGACTGTGTTTTTCACTCTAGATTAGTTTTGGCTCTCCTCTTATTGTTTCCCTTTTCTACCAAAAGTAAAAGTGGTACGCCGCGGCGGTGTTACGAAACAACGGGGACAATGGGGTGAGGCAGGGGGATGAAAACAAAGTGAGACGGGGTAGAACGGGGACGGGGATTAGATAGAACACTCGCCGTGGATAGAATCGGAAAAAGGCCGTTTACATCAATACGCAGCCGTCGCCTCGGAAACCCCAGTGGGCTGTAGATCCAACGGCTTCAGGGGGTTCGCGGCACGTGTCCGAAGAAAGGGTGAAAGGCAAGGATGGAAACGCTGGAATCTTTTTACCCCATCCTTCCTCTACAGCCCCGGCTCCGGCCCAGCTCGTCAAAGCGTCTGCAGCGCTCCATTGCCATAACTCCTCCTTCCGCCGTCTGGAATTCCAGGCCTGTTCTTCGACATTCGCAATACATTTCGTGTTCTCTCCCCCCGCGCCGCCGCCGCCCGGGCTCCGCTGCCAGGCCGCCCGCCCGCCCCGTGCGTCGTGCGGGATGCCTACCCCTCGGCCGTCGGGCGCTCGCCGCGCGCTCACACCAACCACTCGATGACCCACGTGCACGAGTCCTGGCGCAGGACGCGCACGGCGGGGAGCGCCGTCCGCGTCGCCCGCTTGTCCTCGTCGGCGTCCTCCTGGACGCCGGGCCCGGGTCGCCCCCGTCAGACGTGCGTGCCCGTGCCGTACGTGGAGTTGACGTTCAGGGCCGTCTCTTCCGGCGTCTCCTCCGGCCGCAGGATGAGCTTGACGCGCTGTGGAGGACAGACCCCGTGGTTCAGGCTGGCTCACTCACTCATGTTAACTTTAAAGATAGAAACGACGACGAGCACGCGCGCCTTATTTACCTCGGTGCAGTTGCCGGAGGTGATGCAGAACTTGTAGATGATGTAGATGGGGATGCAGAGCAGCGAGGACGCCGTCAGCGCCCACCCAACGCTGATGGCCCAGGCCGGGTACTTGTTCTCGTCCTCGGTGTCGCCCAGCAGCGAGCAGATGAAGATGACCTGCCGGGTGGAAGGGATACGATCGTAAAAGGATTTTCAAATCCAAAACTTTTCCAGAAAAAGGAAAATTTTTCAACATTTCAAAAACATTGAAAAACATTGAAAAAAGAAAACTTTAAAAAGAAAATAATCAGACGGGTAAAAAAAATCTTGAAAATTTTCCACAAGATACTTTTTTGAAAATTAAAAATCCCTAGCTGAAAGTAGCCTTACCAGGATAAATATTGGACTGATGTAGGTCCAGCAGAGCCGCCAAAAGAGACCCGGTCGGAAGCCGAGCATCTTCTCAATGTCGCGCGAGAAGCGATCCACGCCGTAGAACCAGCACACCCCGGCAGCCTCCACGAACACGACAAACAGGATGGACTTGCCGGGGCCGTACTCGTTCAGCAGGTTGACGAGGAACACGCCACCCTGAAAAGCGCAGACGTCGTCTTAAGAATGGGAGCCTCATTGCCATTGCCATTCTTTAAGTTATGCCAGGTTTTTTTTTTTATTTATTTTTTTTTTT